TGAGGAGTAATGCACCAGAAGTTTCCTGTCTAAATTGATAGCTAGATCTGCATTTGAGTTCTCTGAGGTTTGCCTGACTGTCCGAAATCAGATAATTTCCTCATCGATTGAACCAACAACTGCTATACTACAACTTTCTTTTGCTAGAGAACTAACATCGTAATACTTAGAACAGCTCCATTTATGATCATCAAAACATGTTTTGTAGAAAACGAAATGGATATGGGCGGAAAGAAGGAGAAATAAGTGATCTCATGAATACCAAACAAACCGTTCTACGTTAATGAGAATGTACCATGGTCCAAGAAATTGTCGCTGAGGAAAGCTGTTATATAAGATATTTACGGTCGGCATGTGTGTGAACCTGTGGTACATATGTGGCACATTTGTATGATTTTACGGAATCACACTGCTGATCCGTTTACCACAAATTAAACGGCGGATGGTTAGTCCACCGAGCCACTTGGTCTGCAAAAAATATACACACCATAGTTACCAACCTTTTGATACATCATTAACACTCGTTCATTGTAAAAGTTAAGAGCAGTCAACACAGACACCTATTTTCAAACCGATTTGGTTTTTCACGGGAAACCCACCTGAATTCCAGATAACTCTCTCGTCGGAGATTTCCGAGGAGTTTTCAAGAACTTTGTGGGTAGTGTATTACGACTAAGAGTATTTACCATTCAACGTCAGGGTGCATGGCCATTTCCATTTGATTTGCTGTGTTGAGACGGCTATTTTGAATTCGAATACGCTTCTCTTCTGGGCTACGAGATTACTTATTTTGTTGGCTTTTGAAGAAGCGAGAGTGATGATGAAGTTGGTTTTATTCTGAGGACTTGTTCTACCTTACCGTCAGATATTGTGCATAAAAAATATGAACAATGTTTCGACGTCTGGAAGTTGTTTTCGCTCATCTACGTGTCTGTGAACTTTTCTTTTACTACCTATTCTTGGCCCATAGGTTGACAATGCTCATTGTCATGGATGTCGCCATTAAGGGTTGCGGCAAATTCCAGGTACAAAAAGAATCAAAATGGGATAAATTTGATTAATTATTTACACAGAACATCGGCTAAGTCGACAGAGAAAACGGAAAACCGTTCGTAAAAGACGCCTTGTCTTCTAGTGGATTATTTCAAATCTTAAAAATTAGAATTTAGGTGCACTTTTCAGACGACAGAATAAACGCAGTATAAAATTTTGAGAAACTCTACAAGCTGTAAAAGGTGACGGCAAAAAATTACGCAATACTACTCAAATTTATGGAAAAGTACACCTTCAGTGCCAAAGCAAAATTTATTACATTTTCTGAGCATTCACAAATCCTTATTGAATTTTTCCAACCTTTCTCATTGTATGTTTTTCTAAGCCTTTATCCTACCGCTTGCAATAGGCCAAACCAAGTAAAATGAAGCTTTGGAATCATGCATTCGGTGGTGTCCTGTGATGGAGGATTTCTAGAAAAAATGCGACTACACGTTTGTTTACGTTTGCCAGCCGAAATGCGCAGGAGTCAAACAGGTTAGGACTGAATGAACCATACTGGTTTGTTAATAAGCCACGGTATCCCCGAGTTTCAAACATATGTGCATCGGATAGTCCGGTCCAGAGCGGAACTCTTATTTACTGAAACAATAATTACTTTTGGTTGTTGCCCAGTTAAGATATAGCATCTGGAGCTATTTTTCGCAGAGCTCTCTCGCTGCAATAGTAGATCGTCCAACTTCAGGTTTTTTTCTATCGGATGACCGTTTTTCGAAGCAGAATTATATGTGATACAGAGAAGTATAATTTGGGAAAATATTAGGTTTTCTGATAAAGGGAAGATAACTCTAGTGAATCTGGCTCCAATGAGACCATCCTGTTGGCAACAGCATATTCCTGAACATTTGTATAGCGTTCTGTCGTTTTCCATCACTCAAAACTTGCTAATCCGACTAATCGTAATAGGAGAAGAATAAAGAATTTGTTGAACTAAGTCGCTTGTCTCTTTGAGAGTAAGATAAATTTTTAGTTAACAGAAACAAAATTAATTGTTCATAAAAAAGATGGTCTTTTGTGATTCAAGATTACATACCACTGAATTAGGAAAGGTTATAAGCTAAGTAAGTTGGATGGAGCAAATCGAAACGCCACACTTGTGAATATTCTGAACAGTATCTCCGTTTTTATCAGCCCCTTCCGTCAGTTGTGAGCAATTTGATTGGCGGGTCCGTGGTCAGCAGTGCTATTTGCGTTAAACTCGCCAACAAAACTCACCTCTAACAGAATACAGTACTATGGTAGCGAAAAAATGAATAAGAGCCCCAAAGGTAACTCAACGTAGGATGTACTGAGAAAGTTCTCAAATTTTGCCTCACATGGCGATTTATAATCTTCAAAATCACTGAAATGATAGTCTCATGCATTTTGTACTAATATCACTTCTGCATTTGGTAGCTTCGAGGATTTAAAGTCTTTCAGGACCACTTAGTCTTCTTTTTTGACGTATCTCTTTCAGAGTATTGGTGCGCTTTTGTTACTACTCGTCGTCAAATAATCAGGAAACAGTAATAATGAGAAAGTTATGACGTCCAACTAGAACATGTGTAGGTCAGTAGATAAGTAATTTCCCGTAAAACTCTGAGGCCGATCGGTTTTCACTGAAATCTTATTGTCGTGCACATTTCAAGAATCTGTATCGGATTTTAAACGAAGGTATGGTTGCTCATTTGGTAAACTTTAAAGTAGATAGCATGATGGGGCATCGACTGTTGGCAGTACAGTTGGTCTGATCAGTCACGGCTCACCAAAGGCTCCGGATACTTAGGTTGTAGGAAAAGCAAATAGGTCACTACAGCTAGAACTCGGGTCTTGTTTAATCACCTTGTGTGATGTTGCTGATAAAAAACAAAATATTTCAAATGGGTAAAAAATGTATGCAATCATCATCTACTTTACTTAATAGCATAGGTAAATCTTCGAAGGATGGATATTTCACTGTCTAGTACTGCACATATCTACAACGGTGAGACTTCCTTACAGATGAGGTTCGTCGAAGACAGTTGCTCTCTAGGGTAGGATACAGTGTAACCCGACGTTTTCCAGCAGAGTGAAAATAATATTGACATGAATTTAAGATTTCCACTTTAGCGTTGTTAGTGGAATATTTTGACCTGGCCACAATTCCGTTGTTATAAGCAGAAATATAATTCGATGAGAATTTAATAAGTTGAATGGTTTGGACAGTATTTGTTTGGGCACCGTTTTGTGCAGTGGCAAGTTAAACAGGAATGCAGCTCTACGAAGGAAATTTAGTTACACTGTTCAAAGAGAAGTTCACTAGTGAGCACTGGACCAAACAGACAAAATATTAGCGTTGTTTTTTATTGAAAGAGAAGCTATTGTAGTGAGATGGCTGAAGTTATCCATGGCAGCGATACAGATATCGCACTTTCATACACCTTTTGATCCACAGAAGCTCTATACATCAGCAAGCTATCCCCAAAGAGTTGCTCATAAATATAATCTGCGGATTATATGGGTTAGTCTCTTTAAAATGGATCTCAAATGAAGCGACTACCTTTGAAATTTCAAATTAAGTTGTTTGTTACCAAGAGCTATGGGCTACAAGGGGAAGGAATAGAGCTAAGGGCTTCTCATAAGAAACCAGAAAATTTCCACAGCTTTTATATGGAGGAGAAAATATGAATTCGGTGCTGCATTTATTTAGTTATTCAACTATTCATCCGTACGCTGAGTAGATGAGCCGTCTCTTAGTTCACCTAAAAAATTTTCATCTTTCTGAAGTGACCAATGAACTCGTCAAGTAGGGAGACTGTGGGGATAAACTGTTAATCGGACGAGATGTAAGCGTTTAGCAGACGATTACGCGGCTCAGATTGACTTACACACTGAGTTAACCGCGCTTCACCAAATATCAGGTGAATTTCAGGTTTTCGTACAAATCTGATGTCAATTCAAACTATCTTTGCATGATTACCATCACATCGTCATGTGATTAACCCTCGTTTGATCGTTTTTGTTGTTTATGAAAGCAGTGGCCTGTCAAATGTAAAAATTTGAACAAAACCTCCTAGCTTTGATCATCAAACCAGAATTAGTTCTATTCAATACCGCATTGTATGAGTTGTAACAAACTTACCTCTAACATGACTTTATGACTCTTGCTGAATTTTCAGGGAAAAACAATAACCGTTCGCCAACGCCAAATCCCATTCAAGGCATTGTAGTTTAACCTAGTTTGCTCAGATCTGCCGGTCAGTTGCTGACAAAGGGATCACACTGGATGTCGACGTCTGTTTTGTGGATAAACTTATAAGAATTGGGAACAGACTGTAGAGTTTTTTACGTTGATGTAGATGAGAGACTCAATTGGCGTTTACCCGAACTCCCGTTTGCAAGTACGAAATAAGATTAGTGGAGATTTAATGAATAAATCCGCATGATGAGCCCCAAGAGGGACGAAACCTGTAACTGGACGTTGACCTTGTGGGTATTACTTTTCGGAATTTTGCTTCTGATAACATCATTGCAGTAAGATTGTGTTTTTTTAAAATGATATTCACGCAGATCTCATAACTCAACTAATTTGTTGGAATAGGTATCTAATTTTTGGTTCTACTGGGCATTTATCATAACCACTTTACACAAACATTTTTGTTCATAAATACTCCCCCTCTTGCGTAAACTGTTTCAAAACCTACGCCTTACCAATCTCATTTGATGCATCTTAGTTTTGTGAGCTCTCTTACGTTCTATTCTCTAGACCCTTCCTGTAACATTTTCAGTTTATTTGTTCCGTCTCCTTCATCTCATGAATCAGTTTGTCTTATGGTATCGAACCACCAGAAGATGGCGAACTGTCAAGCACAGTACGGAAAATATCGATGCAGATTGTGCTGGCTGAATGGTGGAATCAACAGAGAACGAAAACCTCTTTTTACTCTTACTTTCGTTTCCACACTTTCTTGAGTTATTTCACACTTCAGGCGGCCGGGTTGACCTTCAAAGAGGGTTTCAATCGAAAACCCCTAATCTGCATTCAATTACTTGTATCCATTTCTTTCCTCTGCCCAACTGATCGGACTCCGAATGAAAACAGAATATTTTGAAAATTATCAAATATCACTCGGCACTAAACATGTACTTTACCTTTACTTTTCTGTTCTCTCTTTTCTTCTTCTCCCTCCTTCGCTGCAATCCGAATCAGCCCAAAGTTCTCAACATGGTGCGCACGTTTGATTTCGACAAGATTGTCTCCGGATTCTCCGGTCGTATTCAGGACCCAGAATCGCAGCGTCGTATGGTCCTCTGCGTGGTGTGCGTGGCGCTACTGCTTGACAATATGCTGTACATGGTCATTGTTCCAATAATACCGGACTATTTGCAAACCATGTCTGGTCTGGGACATGAGGAAGTTCTGTGGATCAACGCAACCCACAGCAAACGAATTTCAATGCTAAGTGATAATTTCACCGCTACAAGTGGACAGTATCAACTAAGGTGGTTAGTACACGAGTCGGATACAAAAATCGGTACCTTGTTCGCATTCAAAGCGATTGTACAACTTCTGTTCAATCCTATCTCGGGAACCATTATTGATCGAATAGGTTACGACCTACCCATGATGTTTGGTCTCTGTGTGATTTTTGTGTCTACGTCAATGTTTGCATTTGGTTCGTCGTTCGGCGTTTTGTTTCTTGCGCGTGGACTTCAAGGAGTCGGATCTGCGTTTGCTGATACTTCTGGTTTGGCCATGATTGCTGATCGATACACTATTGAGGCAGAACGCACAAAAGCACTAGGCATAGCGCTTGCGTTTATTTCGTTCGGCTCACTTGTTGCGCCTCCATTTGGTGGAATCTTGTATCAGTTTTTTGGGAAAGAGCTCCCTTTCATCAGCCTGGCATTTGTTGCACTATTTGATGGATTTCTTTTAATGATCATAATGCAACCAGTCCGAATTGAAAGGACTGTTTTGAAAGCGGAGGGAAATCTACCTAAAGGAACTCCAATTCATCGTCTTCTTCTGGACCCCTATGTAGCCATTTGTGCTGGATGTCTAACCATTGCAAATGTATCTTTAGCCTTCTTGGAGCCAACCATATCCAACTGGATGTCTGAAACCATGCACGCCACTAATGCACAAGAAGGCCTCGTTTGGCTACCAGCATTTCTACCGCATTTGGCTGGTGTTATCACAACCGTAAAGTTGGCTGCCAAATACCCTAAATATCAGTGGTTGATGGCTGCAGCTGGTCTGGCAATAGAGGGTATGAGTTGTTTTCTAATACCATTCTGCACGAACTTTCTAGCTCTGATGATACCAATCAGCATTCTCTGCTACGGTATTGCCCTGGTAGATACAGCAATTCTACCTACAATGGGTTTTCTGGTTGACACGCGCCACGTATCTGTGTACGGATCAGTCTATGCAATTGCCGACCTCTCCTACAGCGTTGCTTATGCACTTGGTCCGATTGTGGCAGGAGAACTAGTTCAAGCAATCAAGTTCTTAGGTTTAAATATCGTGATGACATTGGTCACGCTAATTTACGTCCCAGTCCTATATCTGCTACGAGGCTGTTACCTGGAGAACGAAATCACTGCAGCGAGTCGAGATCTCCGAAGACGGAGTACTTTTTCGGCTGATGCTAAGCGATATTCTATGTCTGCAACAACGGATGCACTGGGGATTACGGAGGGGACAGGTCAGCCAACCTATCCTGGTTATGAACAGCAAGAATTCGAAGATAGGACTACCAAACACATCCATCCTCAGAAAACCGTTACATTCGGAAGGTCCGCGCACGGTTCCTATGAAGGATACAATGAAATGCCCGACGAATTCAATGCGAAACACGATGGCTATGGTTACGGATAGAATAAGATGAACTTTATTCCAGCGTATTGTGCGCTCTTTTCCTTTGTATTATCTTTCTGTTTCATCAGTAACTTGTTATTTTGTGTTCTTCATAGCTGTGACACGTCCGTCGAAATTTACGCATCCAGTTTTAGTTGACTGAAGCGATCACGTAAACATCCAATCACATTCCCGATAAAGTGGAATTACCTCTCTGAGGAATTTCAATATCCATAAGCATCATCATCATCCAGTCTGAACGTTTTCATTGATAGTTTTATCCGTTACCCACTGACCAATGACTCTGAGCACCAATTCTTAAGTTGTACGTCCAAGTCCTGCGTTTAGCATTCCCTTTATTTTCCAAACATTCTTTGAGTTACTGTCTTTGTCCAACTGAACAAAACAACTCATTTAGAAAAACTACTCTTGAGACTAATCGAGTACCAGAAAATCAACAATAGGTCTAGGGAGAGCGTTTGAAAAACCGAATGAAGCTCTACACGGAACACATGTAGTAAGTGTTGTCTTTTCTCAGGGTCTCTTGCTTATCCTACACTGCTTGATGATGCCCGAGACAGTAAAACCACCGGAAGTTACTATTTGTACATAAACTTATATTATAACAAAATTACTTTGCTTACCAGAGTAACTATGTTCCACAAAATGGAAACGACAAAAGGTTGTTTTTCTAGCAAACAAATCGCTTTCGACCTCAATAAACCAACCCAAAAATCTAACCCACAGTCAGCCTGTACTAGCCGGAGGATTGTCTCGTGGTTCCATAAGTCTTCTTTCCTAATCGAACGAACATATCTTGAATTATATATTCATTTGAATAATCGTGGCACCCTAAAAAACTCTGGTTCCCATAACCGAATGTTTGGTACTGCCATATGGTCAAGTTAGCCGACATTAGGATTTTACTCTGAACGGACACACCCCTTATTGTCTGTTACGCTACATATGAGGTTGCTAAAAATCCACTGGCAAGCACAACCGATCCACGCAACAGATTTTTTCCTGTGAATCCAATGAAAGAGATTTGTATACCAACATTATCTCGGTTCGCCAAGCAAGTGCTTCATTTCACAAGTTATGAATGTTCTCTCATCCTTAATTTTCAAGGTAGTGATATGGGGACTATAAGCCTATTTCAGAACGGGCAAATGCTAAACGTTACTGTTAGTCGGTCTTAATATACAATATATATGGCCCCGTTCAATATAGTTATAGGATTATCCTCAGAAATATTTTCTCACATATGGCACTAAAATCAGTGCAGAAAAAAATATCGAGTGTATATTGACGGTAGACTTTGTGAACATCCTTCGTAGATGCCTGCAAGAAGAGGCGGTTGTCGGGTAGATTTGCTTAGACAGGCATTGATTCTCGTGGCGAGTTCCGTGGACTACTGCAGCCGTTGCAAATAAGTTTTGTCGATAGTGTTTTTACTTGCCTTGGGTGCAGTAAAACAATCTCAGGCTGCCTCGTACGGAGTAACAACTGATAATTTCAAAAAATATTTGTTGGGTTTACAGCAAGCCACAAAAAATTATTTTAGTCCAAAAGATCCATGGGTTCAGAAAGTCACACAAATACACACAGAGCACACAGACATTTTGAATCACCTCATACAGATGAGCAACAGTTTAATGTGAACTAAGCATTTTATCTACAGAAAATGAAGAATTAAGGCCTTTCTACAGTGCGCAACCTTTCAGTCGCCAATTCATCAATGCGAGCGCTCCTCGTTGGTCTGGAATATTTTTTGGCCCCTGAAGTCTTAGTAACTTGACACAGTGAGCACAAACTCTATATATAGATTCGGTCATATGTCCCATCTAATCCAGCCTTCTACGCGGCTATGTTGCAGACTTTAAGGCAAATTTTGCGTGGCAATATCGAATCCATATCCTACAATATTGCGGCTAGTTCTGTCAATGAAACTTTATTATGGAGGTTCTTCGGCAATAATGTCATCAATATGCCTGAAAAGCGATGACAGCTTTGACTACCTTTATGTGGTTATTTGTCTTTATGCCTTCCGAAGGCCACCTGATTACGCATAGATACCAAAAGCTGAGCAATTCTTCTTTGAAAACCCGGGTCAGACAAGTCCACTTGGAACTCAAGCAAGAAGAATAAATGCGTGACTGGAATTGAATCAGAACTGCCGAGAAGAGTAAACCGTATGATCAAGCTAACAATAAAGGGAAAGAATGTTAACGTGAAAATTGAAGGTCAACCTCAGTGGTCACAAACCAAGCTGTTACATGAAAATAGCGACCAAGGACGACGTGTTGGCAGTGATTGTGTAGAAAAACATGACACACGTGCAGTCAGTTTGAAAAAATATCTCCGCTTTTTGACTTTGTCGGAAAAAAAAAACAAAAATGCCAGGCTTAAGATGAATTAGTGGCGAGAAGAAGCACAGGGAGTAATTGTATAAATCAGGTTTATACGTGTGAGTGAAAATGCATCATGCGACAGTGGATCACTATGATTGATATGTGCTTTTGATTTTCTAACTTTTATATTTAAATGTTCCTTCAAACTCTGTAAGTCATGCCGACATCCCCCCGCCGTCCGGCCGTTTGTGCTCTGCACCTCAAGTTCAATCAGTCAGTTTATCGTAAAGCTTGTAGTTACGACAGGCTGTATGGAGACTTTAGCTTTAAAACACTAGCTGCGGAATATCGGCTACTGGTCTTTACCTCTACATTACTACTTTATTAATTGTGTATAAGAATGATGAGTAAATATCAGTAAAGATGCGAAGCTGAGCCAATCTTATGTTTGGCCAGTCAGCTAAAACCAAAAATTTGCGGAAACGCTATGCGGTTTGAAATACTTTTCGAAGTGCCCTGGTAAATCGATTAAACATCCTGTAAAGGAGGGTACTAAATTAAATGTTTTAGTTCGCCAAATGTCTTACATCCAATGGACCCAGTTGATGGTGGCATTGTGAATGATATCTTCAGCTGGTTCATAAAGCAGAAAGTTTTAGTCCAGTGTTCGCCCAATTAACCAAGACAGATTACAGTTTTGCCAAAGCTTGTGGTGAATCACACAACGACGCACGTGGAATGGCAATACAGGTGGTATTATGAGGAAACTCGAATGCATTTCAATAGAGTTTTTGTCGTGTAAGGAAAGTCAATCTATACTGTAAAGCATGTGGGCACCCTGCGGCTATTTCATTCCTGATTAGAATCATCGGCAGTACGCATAATAATAATAACACCCATGGGGACTCGATCTTGCAATCTCCTGACTAGCCGTTAGAGGCTTAGCAAACGGGCCACGAGCGGTGCAATTGAGTTGGCTTTTTTGTGTAGGACTGACCACTGAAGGACAAAGACTTTAGCAGTGAATTTTGAAATCTCCTATGCTACCAAAGCACTATAAATAGCTTGGAAGGAAGAATAATTCACACAGCTAGCAAACCTTCTAACTGGAAGGCTTTACCTGAGGAGACAGCCAGCATTTGGCAGTGTGATGTGGATTACGTGAGTGAAGACACATCCTGTTGAGGTAAAAGTCACCTACACCGCTGGTGAATCACTCGTGGCGATATTTTTCGTCTTTAACCACTAACCAGAAAAAGTTTGAACCCTCCTGGGAGATTTGTGAGATGCACACTACTGATGGTTAGCAACAAGAATGACCCAGCCATAATCGGCGGTATAGACTAACTTTATCTACAGGACTAAAGCCTGATTAAAAAGTGCAATGGTATTTGACGTTTGGAGATAAAATTATTTTCCTGGTAGGCCAGGATAACGATTGCAAGCATAGAGGAACACTGGTCCCTGAGTGCGATGTATACGAGATATAAGGTAGTTTTCCCATGTAGAGACTTTCTCTGTCTGTTTTGAATTCCAGACACAAGTACACCAAGTTTGCGGTTAGCCATCCAGGTACAACTTTCAGAGGTAATGTCCCACGAAATGAGAGTGAATAGTATTTTGGGTGGAATGTTTCATCCCAGCAGTAATAGACACGTGCTGCGACCACGCGCCCAGGGTGTCCACGTGCATTGTGAACTTAGATGCTTACCTATTGTTTCTGGTTTTGTACTACCTGGCAGTCACACCCCATTGGTACAAAGCATATGGAGTGCGAATATCGACCAGTTGTGTTATTGTTGCAGTTGACATGTCAGAGAGCAGCCATTTTCAAGAAACATACTGCACCAAACAAGGATGATATTCTAATTATTATGTTGACGCAATATGTGCTAAGTGAGATGTGGTGAAACATAGGAGGACTATTCTGTAAAAATGCAAGGCTCTGCACGCTGTCTACTCTTAGCATTTTGCTTGAAAAAATTACCAGAAAAATACTGTTTTTGTGAAAAGGATGGATACATTCAAAAACAAGGTGAGGAACTAAATACCTTTTTGGGGGGTGTGATCCAAGGGAATTTATACCCAAATAGCCTAATAGGTGAGGCAAGCGAATCTTCCGGAAAAGTGAAACAATTCTCATAGAAGCAGGAAAATGAATCACGTCGGTAGTGGAATGAAACCGGAAGACTTTACCGAGAATACCTCTTAGATCATAAAATATATGGTGTTTTGCATTTGAAATGTGAGTTTAGAGGAGTTCTTTTCTCTACTGAAGCTTTCTGTTCGACAAAGGATAACGGATCGAAGCTAATTGAGACGGGCTTTGGTAATGGATATTGTGTCATATCGAATATAGTTATCCTGAAAGATGTTTTTTACTTCATAAGTATGCATAGTTTTGTCGCTGTTTAGAACTGTATTATTCTGATACATATCTGTGGTGCATTTTAGATGCCATTACGCTAAAACTAAAACAGGTTTTGTTTTATTTGGGTGGCACGTTATAGTCAACAATGGCCTGATTCTGTCAACTCATTGAAGTGTTGGCTCTTGTCAACGATGCTATTTTTACATTATGGCTTCGTTCTTTGTCACAAAAAATCTAGTATTGATCTCGTATGCAAGCACAGAAGACGGACTTATGTGGTTTTTTGAGCACTCTATTAAGCCATTTTTGGACAAAAGTTAGCAGATTTTTCACCTCTTACTGAAGAACATTTTTACACTTTGGTGACTGGTGAACAAACGGGCAGTTGCACGTCCAACGCTTGATGCAACGCTTGCGCATTATAAACGGGCATATTTCATTGACCTGAACAAGGCCATCTAAGTAACACATATAAGGTGAACATAATCCGACTTTGCCAACAATTTTCATACTTTTTTCTTAATACTGACAGCTGGATCAACGGGCTAGAAATCTATCCAAATTTTTGACCTACCTCTACCTTCGATTAGATGACGCATCCTGTGAAGGAGTTTGTCCGACGCATTTCAACTTTAGACATTGAACAATATCCAGAATGGAACCTGAATGTAAGTCAGCACATATAAAATGTTTGTATCACTTTCCATTTGGTTGGATCATTTCCTGAAACAGGAATTATAAACCAAACATGGACTAACAGTGCTGGATGGAGGTTTGTATTAAAATAACTAGAGAAGGAAAATTCTCCAGAGGTGGAGATGTATGGCTTCCGAGTATGTCTAATTTTTTTTGGTAAACATCATCTTCTGTTATTTATATTATGCGAGATCACCTAAGCAAAATTAAACACATCTCTACCAAGCCATCCTCTGATTATTATCCTGTTGTTTCTCAATTTTTTTTAACAAGAATCAAAGCTTAGCGTCCTTTTGGCCGTGATTAAAAGTATGGCATCAACTGAAGCCTTTTTCGAAGATCTTGCTCCGTCTCAGTTGACTGAAATTTGTGCAAAGTCCGCTATAAACTGGATAATAAGTAAGCCCACTTGCCCATCCACGAGAATGGAGGAGCTACAATGAACATCCGGCTACCCAAGTTGCCATTCCATTTATGTTTGACTGCAGAGTTTTACTAGTGAGTGATATTGATGTCGTTCATGTTTGAGTGGCATCACTACCACGCGGCATTCATCCAGAATTTTCCTGTCTAAACTACCGGAATTTCGTAGTTGTCCAAGGTTGACCAGTAGTCTCTGCGGCCCTTTCTGAATTTCGACGAGGACTATGAGATTGGATCCTGATCACTGCACTAGTTGGGGCACAGCAGTGTCATCCTTGAAATGACTAAAGAGTACAGAACATCTGAGCTTCTGGTCCAATATAGCGTTAGGTTTAAAGGGTTTCAGCGCCCTGTGGATTACACCCGACTAAGTTAGCTGAGCGACCTACGCACCGCCAACTGCAAGACAAAAATTCACATGTAGCGAGAAGGACTGGAGGCGTTAACCAATATAAAACTGGTTTTATCAAGGTTTTAAATTTGGGTTCTCTTTTAAAGCTAAATGGTACAGACAGTTACACTCATGCTATGTCAAATATACTTTTATGTCCCGACGAAGTCCCGAAAGGAAAGCAACCCTTCCCTACAGTAACCACTACTTAATAATGTTAAAGAGTGCATCTAAATTTGATTTGTCATCAAGAAATTTTGTTCGCTTGAAACACACAAAGGATAAATATTTACGGTTGAGGTACAATCTACACGCACAACATACCTCTAAATCCGTCACACTACAGCAGATCTCGATTCCTGCTGATAAAGAAGTCATTTCAGAGGTCNAAATCAAAAAAAATCATCACCGTCCCATTCCAAACGAGTCGAATGCCAGTTTTGTTGTTAAGGTCACTCACTTTTACTTAGAAGTTATTGCAGTGAGTTTGGTGAGCTCGGGCGAACATAATTCCCAGCAATTAGTTGCTCGGTCGTGCTAACACGTAGTCTGGAGCAGTTGCCAGTGACTAAGGCACGAAATAAGAAGGCTGTAGCTTCATGCTTTAAAGGAACGTTGTCACAAGACACAAACACCAGCAACACACTGAAAAACAATCTCCGTGTATTATGCCTTGAACTTATATTTCATATGCTCCGCTTTAGAAGACGAAAGGTTACCCGACCGAGCGTAAACAGCTTATGTGAGTTCCTTTGGAGCTTCAGAATCCTCAACAAATGGCTAACAGGTCTACCATGTTCAACTGAGGTTTCTTCATGTGAATGAATTCAACCCATTCAGAAAAGCCAATAAATAATGTACAGTGCATTTATACTTATTAGGAGTCATCGGCAGTGCGTATCTGACGAAACCCAAGGGAGTTTCGTTTAACCGTTCGACCGAAAGTGGCTGATTAGAATTATGATTTACTCATACTCAGGTCACTCATCTAAAAATTCGCCATTTGAGGAACTAGTTAACACATGACCGAGTGGTGTGGTTTCCGGGATTGAAGGATGTGTATCTTGTCTAGGAGCGAGTTAATCACTGTGCTTATCAGCCATTAGCGGCCGAACGGTGTTTCCAGTTCGGTCGGAGAGCTTACGAACAGCCCAAGAATCCAATATTCAGTTTGGAGAGTTTGCAGCAAAGTCATGAGAAGTGTATTACGGCTATACAGATATCCAGTTTGTTTCGTTCACTCTGACACAGGAGAGAGGTGTTCAAACTACGGTTGGTGATGTTACTCCATCCGATCTGTTGTTACTTTTAATAAAACACCACGCGCCCACCGAATTTGGTCATGAAATCAATCCAATACTGGACGACTATGAGCAGTACATTGAAGCAGGTAGTACTGATGGATGCTCCAAAGGTTGCTAGTGTGTGGCATCAATTCAGTGAATGGCAGACATTCCGCTTTATGCAATTCACCGCTGTGTCTCACAGTGCATACCCATAACCTCTTACGTGAGATCGTATTTCTGTTCGAACTCTGCGTCATATCGGCACCAACTATAAATGTCAAGACACCAAGCTTTCGTTCTCCCCATTCGATCTGCAAGCTTATATGCATTTGATAACACAGCTTCATTTATTCTTGTTGATGGAGGCCATTATTGGTTTGTCCCGCCCAGTTACGACAGTAAGAAAGACGTGCAAAAGACAGCTTACACTAAAGTATCGTGTGTGTCACAAGTTTTGCTGCTGATATATAGGCCCCACTTTGCGTTACATAGATGTCGATACACCTTGCCAGTGTCTACAGAGAGGGGGTATTCGAGGAAGTAGAGCAAAAGCTGTCAGATCATGAGCATCATTGTAGTCAACTCTGGTGTGTGACGGTTAGCTATGACAACTCTGCCTCGATGAAAAAATGGATGTGAAGTCAGGATACACGGTGACCTGAGTTCATACACTGAATCCCAAATGAAAGAAAATCTCATGAAGGACATATGGATTTATCTCCAATAGACACATCCCATAATGAGGACGTGCGTCAAGTGGTGATACAAACAGTATGTGCGTCAGTTGACGCACACCGCATTTGGTCGTACGTTCTTGGGAACTTAACACCTGTTGAGATGTGTTGCAACATAATTCTGAAGGTTGGGACTTGTTGAGCAACCACAAACTAAAAATATTCCGCCCCTGTTGATGAGAGTATCTATGGCCGTCCATCAAATGTTGACTAACGTCATTCTATAGTTTACCAGCCTCAATATCAAACACTGACCAAATTATCTGGTTCAGTATAGACGTGCTTCGGGTACGAGGCTGAAAAAAACATGGGATAAGAGATAATTTGAAACAATGGACAGTTTAGAATCCCAGTACATTCCAAAGCATGTCATTGTAGACAGCATCTTTTGTGAGCAATGTAAGTGCGCTAATCCGGGTTTTTAGGCTTACCTAAGTTCCAGAAGTGACTCTCTGTGACCGACGTTGTACAGACCCAGCTGGATGCGTCTGTCGACTGGTGTGGGACGCTAGGTGTCCATTTGGATGAACTGTAGGAGAAACTGCTTCACTCGACAGCTACATACCATCGCGTGAGCATGCTGATGACCAAAGAACTGTCTCCTCCTATTCACTCACTCGTCGTTTACCCTCAGGTTTACGTCGAATAGAGGACGTTCGGCCAGATGTATTTATGGATAAGCGCAAACCGCATTTAAATTCAGCTTAGTTCGACGTGGCAGGCTCATACGGAAACCAATGATAGCTATATGTCCGCCAACTTTTACACGACTGCGCCCTTTAGGCTTTTAAATCACCAGCCCTTATACAACGTATCAGAATAAGTGAGTGCGAATTTGTTGCATCCAACGGTGGACGACTGCTTAATCTCACCGGTTGAAGAGAGTGGCTAGATTGGATCGATCTTCACATACTGGCGGACTAGGTGTGCGTTTTCAATCTCTGACCATTCATTAGGGGTAAAACTGTCAAAAGGCAGCAGCTATGTGGTCATCATAAAATTCTGATTATCCAGTGTGTGGCAATAGGTTTACACTTGTCAGAGGTGCTGCTGCTGACAGAAAACGGAGGAATTTAGGTTATTTAGCTTTCAGAATTAGACACAGACGAGTCTGACACTGATTCACTTTCCACCAGTGACAGCTACTGTGCCTCTCGGTAGGGGAGCCTTCTTTCACCTGAGGTTTTGTATTGAATCGTACAAAATCAAACTTAAGAATTAAAACTTTTGAGTTGTTTTCGTACACCGATTTAATTACTTCTGTGGTCAAATTTTTGGTCGTGTAATACATAGCGAAGACCGATTTGAAATGTAAGCTACCAACAGCCATTCTTCCATTAACCCAGTGACCTCCAAAGAGAATAACAATGGCTTTCTGAGAGTGCATTAAGCTTCAGGTGTTGTTGGGTGGCCTTAACACCTACTAATTGGTGACCCAACTGTGGGTCTATAATGATATTGAAACAAGAATTTGAGCTAAAGGTATCACGCGCATCGACCGGTTCTAGCGTCAAGAACGGATAAATTCGACAGCTTCACAGTCCTACTAGTTTATCTCACCTTCCTTGATATTAATGCTGATTCCTTACCGCCGTACTTAGGGTCCATTATTACCAGTGACGTCAAGGTCCCGGCCGTCAAAGGAGGACATCCAGGCCAACCTAGTTGGAGGGAAAAAAGTATGGAAAAATATACTCAGGACTTTGACGACGTTTCTCATACTTGGTAGCTTCATTACCATGTTTCCATGTATCCCGCTGTTTCTGTAAACAAAGATACTACAAACAATTTTGTATGATAGCCACCGGTAAAGCATTCAAGACCACTTGGGCACTCATATATTGCGTGTAGTACAAAGGTAAGCCTGCCAACCAGAAGTCAAAAACAATATTTAGATTTGAATACTCTCTCTGAGTTAATGCGGCCAAGCTCATTTCAAACGTAATCAAGCAATTTATTCGCGGATGGCTCTTGTTGTGGGATTTTATCTGTTTGCACACTTATCCACTTATCTTTTTATGGTGGCATACGGCGGTCACTTACCAACACTGGCGATTTTCGTCGAAAACACATGTGTGTCTGGTGTTGCTACCGTTTATTATTGTCATTATCTTTAATAGATGTCTTGAAATTATCGT